AGCGATGACGCTCCCTTCTCACGATGATCTCTCAGTTCCTTCTCGAAGGATGACATCGTAAAAGGTTTAGAACAACCATGCAGCGATGGTCTTTTCTTACACAACCATTCTTGAACGAAAAACACCTCATGTCCTGCATTCACGATCTTATGGGCAAACTTACCATGGAATTTCTTTCTTTCTTCAAAGTCATCACTTCCCTCGACGATGAGTAAGCCTACCAAAAGCAAAAGAGCGGTTTCTGCTTCCATCTGAAAACAAAGTTCTCTGCTTCTGAATAACTGACCTCCTTTTACGTTCTGAGCACGATGCAAGTAGTTATTAACACGAAGAGTCCATCTTTTTTGAGTGCTGTTATTTCTCCACAGTACGCAATGTGGATGTCTCACAAGCTTGGCGAGTTATGGACAAAACTTTGGCCTCGGACCGGACTCGAACCCGTGTTTGTGCTATCAAGACACTGTGCTCTTTATCTCAAAAGAAGAAGGCGAGGGCAAATGGTTCTGGTAGTGTATGGAGTAAGGGTACCGGATAGCACAAGTACGGGTTCAAATTCCGTCCAAGGCCAAAGTTTCCCCCTGGAGGCAGAAGCTCCTGAAGGCAAATCGAAATCGAAAGACGAAAGTGAGGCAGGCAACCTAGAAATGATACGTGAAAAGCTGTTCAAGCGCCTGTGCGTAAAAGTGACAGAGGAACGATCTCAAGGAAGCCTATAGGGAAAAGACAAAGTGAAAGTTGTTCTTGAAACAAGTTCACCAAGCAGGGAAGAGCTGATCGCAGTTGGAAACGATTAAACCGAATAAGAGAGCTGCGATCAAGACATGAAGAAAGAAAAATAGTCAAAAGAGAAGGGACTAACGAAATTACCGGAAGAGGTAAGACAAAGGCAAAATAAAAAAGGTGGAACTTAACATCTCTTCAGCAATAATCAAATACTGAGAAAAATTGGAACGTCCGTTTTGTCCGAAATTCAGTAGGTTACCTGAACGTCTGATGGAATTTAAATTCCAGCGAGTAAGTCGGCAATTTTCGTCTAATCGCCAGCAGCTCAAAGGTAGACGGTTGTAAACGAGAGTCTGCTCGTTGAACTGCTCAAAAAAAACCAGAATTGTCTGAAAACGACCTCTTGTTTGGCATTGAGAAGGCTGAAATACGCCATTCCAAGAGCTCTTTGTCGGACTATACCATGGGAACGGTCGAAAAAGTGCAAGCGCCTGACTTTAGTTCAGTCCTTTTGAAGATGTAGTCTATGAGGGCAAATAACCAGTTAGACGTTCGAGATCGAGGGTAGGGCTCAATCATTATCCAGAAAACCTTGTTCACCACGAATGTATATCCGAATGCACATTCGATGTAGAGGAGGAGGTAAAACAGAACAATCACCCGCTCAAAATTGAAAAAAAA